TCCGGAAGCAAACTGGTATCACAATGGTGTTTGCGAAGGTTTCGGTAGTCCCCCAATGTCTATGAATTTGGCGCGCACGCCAAGAGCAAAACCTTTGCCAATACATGGTTTGATCGAATGCGAATGCACAGGTTGGCCACATTCATTGCAGATTAAACAAACCACTTTGAATGAAATAGATTCCAGATGTACTTCGACGTTCGAATAAATTAGAACTTCGGAACCACATTGATTGCTGGTTTGGCCACTTGAACAGGCAGTGATGTAGTAGTACCTCTATTGTCATGTGCGAATGAAATGCAATTACTTAAACTTATCGCTTCAAATATCGAATTTTGAAGACACGTGCCAGCATGAGTAGAGATAGGATAGTTGTGATTCATGTACCAAAAGTAAGCATTTGACTGTCGGTGACATGCCAAACATGCCACCGACAAACAAATCCACACCGCATCGAATGCGACGGGAAGCCGTGTGGTCAAGAATTGCAGCCGGAGTGGCCCTCCACAGCTTCAAGACTATACTTCACATATACCAAAGATCTCCACATCATCAATTTGGGAAAAAGGCATTTGGTGGACACCGCGCATGACCGCTTCTGAAGGGATGGCATGACTGTCAGCGCAAAAAGAGTCCTCCACTGGGAAAGTTACCGAGTTCATTAAATGAAAGAATCTAATGATCTTGCTACCGCATTCCAAAGCTGCACACGCCTCGTCAGCACTGCAACAACAGTCGGAAATGCACATAAGCAACAAATTATCAGATTGAAGATTACATGTATATACGTTCTTAGATTTTCATGTAAGTCGCATGCTGTTGGAATATATGCCAATAGCAGTAGTAAAATACGTTGGGCTCAATACACCACTTCAAAGCAAATCAACTTTGGGTTAAGCGCTTTATGAAGCGTTGCGCTGGAAGTCATATTTGTGAGCGAAGGTAAGATTTGGGCAGTCAAACCATACACATGATCATGCAGCGTTGTCAGGGTTTAGCAACTACATACGCAACTTTATCGTCACTAAAGGTAGTGAAGTGTTCTACAGCGTTGATCAGGTAGAAATCAACTTCGAGTTCATTCCAGAAGCCAAGATTGATGATACGAAAAAAAAAACGTGCGGATTCGTTGCTCT